AGACCAACCTGGTGGCTTTTTATGATCAGATCACCAGATCATTAGATGCAGCGGTAGCAGTGGACATAGTCTTCCTGGACTTCCGGAAGGCTTTTGACACTGTCTCTCACCCCGTTCTCATTAAGAAAATGGGAGGCTGTGACGTAGACACCCACACAGTCAAATGGGTCGCCAGCTGGCTGGACCTGCCCATGTCCTTCCATGTTAACACCCGGAAGATCTCTCCCCCGAAAGGGGCATATTTCCCTGAGAGAAATCGAGTGAACACGTCTGCTCATCATTTCTACTGCTAGTTATTGTCTCAGTAGAAATGCTAATGCCTGTACACAGCCTAAGACAATCTTTCAAACGCAGTGCATTACTCTTCGCATCTTCTTAAAAGAGGTTCTCTTAAAAGAGGCTTTGGGAATGGCCAGGGAATTAAGGATATTCCAAAACAGACAATTCCTTTTCCAGTACTGGAGTTTTCTAGATATCAGCAGGGCAATGCCCCCCAACCCTGCTGTGGAGCAGATGTGGCTAAACTCTTATGTTGTAATTATTTGTTTTCCAAAATGTAAAACAAAGTTTTATGCTTCAAAACAGGCCAACAAGTCAGTCTATATTTGCACTGAGAAAAGTTTAACAAAGTTGCACATAATGACAGGCCTATGACTGGTGAATAGGCAACGCCTATACAGTTCCACAAAGACAGAATGGGCTAAAGTAATGAGTGACAAGCACTTATCAGTAATATTACAAAGTTAGTAATTCAGTGATATAAAGTAAGGAAGCTGCAGTAATTGACCGTAGTAGATGCTATTCTACTGTGTAATGGAGGATTTTTATTTTGTATATACTCCAAATCAATTCATGCCAAGGCTCAGTTCCTACTGTTCAGCTGCACTTGCTCTACAGCAGGCTGGTAGAGGTGATGAGTTCTGCACTTGATAAGACAGAGTCAGTTTTCCTTGTAGCCATGTAGGATTTAAGTCTAATTTTTCAACCCGAAGGGGACCCCTTTTTAGATGCACCCAAAAATTTGCTCTCCCTTCCCCCATGAGTGCCACTCTGATCCCCTTCCTCTGCCCAATCCCCTCTGATTTCTGTATTTGAACATGTGCTCCTTGCCCCATCTCTAATTTGCCACATGCCACAGAAAGGCTGCTCATGCCACTTATGGCACTCATTATTGCAGGTTTGCCACCCTTGCTCTATAGGTATAAAATGCTAACCTGTTTTTGACTGTAGCAGAGTTGCTTTTGCACAATTTAGCTTAATAGAGCAACACCTTCCAACCTGTTATCCATTAAAATAAATACATAACTTTTAAAAATTGAACTCAACCTGTCCAAATAAAAATTATCTGATTATTCACGGAATATTTTGCATTGTACCAATGGTTTAGTATTAAAAGTTTAAGCAAGCCTTGAACTACTGTAAAAATAGAGTAAGCTCTTCCTTAGCGCAAAAATCAGTACTTCAATTATAGACAACACATAAGGGCTAGAAGTTCGTAGCAACTTAAAAAAAAGAAAAAAAAATAAAGAAATCAGGATTTGTTAACTGGTCCAGACAAGAATATCACTAACCCTTAAACCTTTTAAGGTCTGAAGGAAGAGGACCAGTACTTGAAGAAGAGGGCAAGATGACAGCAGCACACCCCACAAAAGTTATGGGGACACCATTGGGGAGGAAGGGGGACACTGAAACCACTCCTTTCTTCCTACCTTAAAAGAAACTAAACTGCAAAATCAGCAGAGCCCATCTATTTCAACTGACTTTAGGCTGCTCAGTCTGCATATTGTCAAGTACATTTGAAGCTTTGCTCCCGATTTTGGTTCTTACCTTCTGGTTTGTAAGCACATGTGTCTTGTGCCTGCTGCAAATAAACCACAAATCCTGGGTGGCTTAACTCTCAACCCTAAATCACTGGGTCATGCCTAACCCACAGAACATACAGGAGCCATCCAAAGACTCCAATCAGTCTTCAGAGGCAGCCAAAACAGATTTTCCAAGATGGCCCAGTGAAAATGGTAGGACTTTGTCCTATTCCAGCTGGCTGTTGGCTCCAACCACTCCCTCTCCCTCTCTCAGCCTGTTCACTTCATCTGTGCTCTCCCATTTCTCCCTCCATCTTCCTTGCCACAAATTCCCTTAATTTTCCTTTCCATTTAATTTATTCCCTCTTAACTAACCTCTCCCCACCCCTCACACACAATCTTCACATTAAATTAACATGCTAGTTGCTGCCACCACACTATCCCTTGTATGTTGTTATGCCTTCCCTCTCCCATAGGTATCTTGTCTATTTAAGATTGTAAACTCTTTGGTATAGAGGCTGCCAGCAACATAGTGCCTGGCACAATAAGGCCCTATTCTTGATTAGTCCTTGGGCACAATTGCAATGAACATGATTAATAGCATCATGAAAGGAATAATAAAAAGTTTGTTGGTTTGCCCTTATTAGGAAAGTTTTTACCTTGAAACAGAAGTATTAGCCTTGAAGTATTAGCCTTTGGGTCTTGAACAAGCAGCTGGGATGCAGAAGTGTCAGTCTGTCTACTGGAAAGAAAAGCAGCCCAAAGATGACCCTCAGCTTAAACTGAGACTAATCTCTCTCTAAATAAGACTCTAAGAAGTGTTCCCACTGTCTCCTCCCAAGCTTGTCTTGAAGGAAGGGCAAAGAATTCAGTATTGTTTAGTCTCCCTTGACCTCAAAAATTTGTGCAGAAAGAAGAATGATGACCACTCCAAGGTCCAACAGGGAAGCAAGGGACAAAGCTCAAATGATATTCACTACCACCATGATGAAAAGCCCCTTACCTCAACCTTGCTTTCTGGATCATGAGTAGCAGCAGCAAAATAGACTACTTCCTGTACTTCATCTCTAGGCCGTGTAGAATTTTTTCCAAAGACAACAAGACCATCTTTAGTGCATGGGGGAAATGCAACAAAGCAATAACTGGGAGGAGCTGCAGCCATCCTAAAAAACAAAGAAAAGAAGATATAAGATTAATATTTTAGCTAATATTCAAATATTTAATATGTGGTTACAACTGAGGAGCAAAAATATATTCCAGTGTCACCACTTTCTTATTCCCTTTTCAGTCGTCCAGTGAAGAGTGCAATTAAAGTGAAAGAAACAGGTCAGTTCAACTTAGCCTTACTTGGGGCTCAATAAACACAATGAAGTTACAGTAGACTTAATTAAAGCAGCTGCTAACCAGATTGGGAAGGCAGAGGCAGATGAATGGAAAAGCAAAAACAACTGTGCCTTGAGAATGAGAGCAGTTAGTCTTCATGGAAGGGAAGTATTTCTGTATTGGAGTTGTTCGGTGACATGTTCCCCAGTTGTGCTCACTCAAACAAGCACTGTACTGTAGCACAGAAATGTAAAAGAATTTAAAATACTCCAGCTCATTTCTCCAGTGCAGTTTTAGGGGAAAAGAAAAAGAGAGAGCATCTGTGGAATTCTTAATATGGAATAATGGTATATTTCTGTCCTGGTTCCAATTATACTTGAAGGCACAAGTTGCAGTTAAGCTACTGGGCAGCCACTGCTACCTAAACCAAGAGAGAGAAATTACAATAACAACACTTGCTAAGTAATCAAAGATGGTGGTATGCATATACTTTTTTTTTTTACCTCAGGTTAATTGATTGCCAGCTTGTGTGTTTGTAAAGCCTAGTCTGGATACTTCAAGTATCTGTGCCAGGATATACAAGGGTTAAAATGTTCATACTGCCTGTTAACTGATTAAGTTCTCATATTTGTGCTCGTAAAAGCTCAAGCACACCCTGGCATAAAACAGATTGCTTGAGGACCGTTCCCTCCAATCAACTGTCATGGTCATCTTCAAGTACAAACGTCTCTTCCCCTTACATATAAAAATGGAGAACTTGCATTAATGTCAGGAATGTATGTCACACGCTTCTTGAAGAAAAGCGCATTTTGTCAAAAAAAAGCATATGTGAACTTCCATACTTTAATAGATACCATTACTATTGGGGTGCTTTCCCATTCCAAGATAGCTTAAGAAGTAGTAGAAATTAAAGTCTGTTTTAATTTTAATAATTGGATCAAAGCTGCCTTTAATCATTGACTGACTAGATGAACAGCTGGTATCACTGATGTTTTACGAGTTAAGCCTTGAAGAGAAACATTTTAAAAAGTGCATTATTTTTATGAAGTACACATTTTGGAGGCTACTTCTGTTATTTCAAGCTTACAACATAAAATGAAATTCCAACTGCCATTCTAGTCCCTGGAGAAAACCAGATATCCATATACAAACACTAAGAGTTTTCCTCCTGGGTTCCAATATTATTTAATATCAGGTGTTTTACAGGCAGGTTTGAAGACAAGGCCCTGATTCAAGGCTTATGGCCATCTTAACCATATAGAGGCGGCAAAATTAGTAAGTGACCAGAGTAGAAAGATTACAATGCAGCAAGTATTTTTTTTTGCCTAGTTCAGTTATACATTCTAAGTGATATTCTACAGAAAAAAAAAGATGTTATTGTTCAGTGATTTGCTGTTATGAAGAAGTCAGTAACACTGATTTTTCTAACATGCCTAAGAGCTAAAGCCATACCACTGGGGGAAGGTGAGAGGGGATGAAGAAAAAAACCCCAAACCCCCAAAACCAGCAAGCAGTGCTTCAAGTTTACTGTTGGTCTGCTATGACACCCTCCCTACTCTAGCCCCACTCCAGGAGAGTTACAGGTGGCCTGTAAATCTCTTGGGGCCCTTCTACACATGCAAGTAAAGGTGCAATGGGATACAAGGGTTATAGACATTCCCCAGGAGGCGGAGGGAAGGGGGAGGGGAGGGCACTTTAATTAGTGCAGCTCTGACAGCCATGTTAACTTAAGCACCTGGAGCATCATGTGCATCAGCGTCCCCCTGCTGAAAAATGGCAGTGGGAGCACTTTAACTAAAACTAGTTCAAAGTGCTCCCACCGCTATTTTTCAACATGGGGATGCTGATACACATGACAGCGGAGTCTGCTGGAGCACAGTAATTACCACGCTCCAGCAGACTCAGTCAAGTCGGCTCTAACGCACTGCAATTACAGCACATTGCAGCAGCCTCCCTGCATGTGTATAGGAGCCCCAAATGTGCAATCCACACAATCGCTCCTCCTGCCATGCCACACCTGCCTGGCAAGAGCAGCAAATGTGGGATTACACATTTAGATCCCATCACAACTTACTGCCAGTGCAGGGGAAACCTGATCCCATGCTCCCCCTGCTCCAGCAAGATGCATGCTCCTGCAGCTGGGAGCCCCATTCTCCCATCCTCAGGTGCTTTACACACCTGTGGGGCTGGTGGGGTGTCAGAACCCAGAGTCAGCAGCTGCAAGACTCTGGGTCATGGCAGCCATCTGGCACTGCTGGGACCCAGAGTCAGCAGTTGCTGGGGCTGAGAGCCCCAGCTGGAAATGGTGCACTCCTGCTGCTGGGAGCCCAGTCAGCTGACACAGGGCAGTCTCTGCTAAATGTGTAAACTAAAGCCAGATACCAACCAGCTATGAAGTTAGTACACTTTTTCAAGGTCTAACTTTATAACTGGTTGGAGTTAATGGTATGATAGGTATTTTGCACATGTAGCTGGTTTCAGTTAAACTGCCCAATTAAATAGCTAACTGCACAATGCCCGTCATGTGTAAATGGCATGGGCAACTGATGCCTCCCAAGTCTGGTGGGACACCAAATCGCTGAAGGGGGAGGGTGTCCCCCAGTGACCAATCACCAAGCCAGCAGCAAAACTGGAAGTGCACTTCTTGTTTGGTGGCTGGCGCTTCCAGGGGGTGCACAACCAATCTCTGGGGGTACATGTGCACCCGCATACACCTCCTACACATCGCCAATGATCAAAGGGGCCTTAGAGAGAATTCTTCCCCCAGCTACTCTCCAGAGATCAAATACCACCCCAGCTTTCTGAAGCATGCTAGGCAGCTCTGGAAGGCCAGAAACTCAACTGATAGTTTACCAGTTTGCAGGCAGAGATTTTTCAGTTCTTCCTAGATTAGTGATTCTCAACCAGGGTGCTGGGGTAACTTGATAAATGTGCTAGGAGTGAAGCAGCTAAAAATAAACAGATAAGCTCAGGCTCAAGCTTGTCCCTCCCTGGATGATCCCCCATTCCCACTGCTAAGCCCTTCTGCAAGGAAGTAAGCATTGTATTCTATAAAATTAGTTTTTTTAAATTGGGTGCCACAAAATTAACAAGTTATGGAGGAGCACCTTGAGTCCAGTGAGGGGTGCCTCAAGTCCAAAACAGTTGAGAATTACTGTTCTAGATACTGTCATGTCTCCAAGATATTGTGTTTCAATACTGTGACACTGAAAGTTAGGACTCCCGCTTCGTGAAATTTATGTCTACCCACTACATGCTACTAAGTGACAGATATACTGTACATCTCAAGATACTCAGAAACACTAAGGCCCCTGTCAGCACAAAGTTTTCTGTACTGTTAGTGCTTATCCTGTGTCAAACGCAGATCCTGTATTGGGTCAGAGTTCATTTGTTCCAAGAGGTGCTTATTCCCTTCTGGAATACACCATGGTATTTTTTCCCACTATCCTCCACTGTGCCAAATGCAGTTTTTAGTGCTAGCATCTACACTAAAACCTTTATGGTTAGGGGTGCACTACATTGAAGAAAACAGCTGGATATGCTAAGTTCAAATGACTACTCTCACATGTCTGCTGTGTAACCTAATGTGCAAAATACGTCATCACTTTAGCCTCTGACAGCCTCATTACAGTAAGACGTGGTGCTCTTAGCTCCTTTTCAAGCAATTAGGGCTTCTCTCCCACTGCTGGAGTTCAATATGGAAGTGTACAGAGTTCTATTTCATGAAGTACACTGCAGGTAGAGACTGTTACCTATATCAAGAGGGGGGTTTTTTGTTTTGTTTTGTTTTTTAAAACTGGCGGGCAGAACTGGTAGAAGTTCTAATGCAGGAGTAGGCAACCCCCAGCATGTGTGCCAGAGCATGGCAAGCAAAGGCATTTCGCTTGGCACGTGCACCTCAAGGCGAATGGTGGGAGAGCCATGAGGGGCCTGATGTTTGTTTTGGCAGTGCAGTCTTTGTCTCTTCCTTGCCATCTGCTTCAAGGCACATGTGCACCCGCCACCAGCAATGAGCTGGGCCAGGGCTCCATGAATGCCAGTTCAGCTGCTTGCAGCCTCCTACCGCCTCCTGCAAGCATCCTGGGCTCTGCAGCAGGTGGAAGGGGCCTGCCCAAAGCCTGGGCTGGCTGCGGCAGGCAGCCAGGAAGTTGCAAGCAGCTGCACTGGGATCCATGCAGCCCCAGCCCAGCTCTTTGCAGGCAGTGGGTGCATGCGTATCTTGGAGCACATGGTGGGGAACGGGCTGGGGCTGTGCTGCCACAACAAGAACTGGACCCCTCACAGCTCCTCTGCCATCTACCCCTGCAACGCCAACATCTAACAAGTCAAGGTTGTGGGTGTTTTTGGCACTCTGCCCAAAAACATTGCTGACCCCTGTTCCAATGTCTATTTTTTTTTTTCCCCTTCTACAGAAATACTGGAGATCAGTACTAAACTTTTGTTTATACATGCACATGGGACTGCACACAGCTTATTAGGAAGGCATTTTGCCTCGACTATTATGTGGCTCATTTCGAGGAGAAAGGAAAAAAAAAAGAGACCGTACATGATGCAGTTTTTCAAATACAGCCCGCTTTCAGTTTTGTTTCAAGTAGTGTTGTTAAGTCATCTTCCCTGATCACAGCACTCCTTTCTCTGGACCTTTCCATTGGCTTTCTACCCAGTATCAAATTTCACCTAATCTACATCTGTGTCTCACCTTCACTAAGCTTTGGTGCCTCTTCATCCTCTATGACATTTCTCTCAGACACTCTTACTAGGTTTTCACTAGTCACCTTTCTGCACACTCTTAGGCATAGTGCATCCTCCTTGCACTTGTCAGCAAGGTCCCTACTTCCTGCATCTTTACCATGCTACTTCCAAGAATCAAGGTGATATTATATAAATAGACCTTTTATTATTGCTCTGAACTCCACTTCACCTTCCATGCTTAGGTTGTTAGTTCCTCCAAACAGGGACCATCATTTGTGGGGGAATTATGGAGGAGAAGAGGGGGAAGAACTACTCTTTGAGGATGAGATCCTAGCACTACTGTTTGATGAGACCCTAGCACATAAATGGAAGCCATCACAAACAGATTGCGAAGAACACCTTACTATAATTTTTTTTTACCTAAAGTATACTTTAGCACTATAGCCTCTACTTGTATGAACTATTAGTGCAAGAAGCCCATTTTCATCAACAACTGTATGCTGCTCCAACATGGGCAGATTTCGTATGAAAACCCTAGGCATGCCCCTCTACATGACACTACTAACTCAAAGTTGTCCTAATTATTCTTAGCACAAATGTTCAGCTGAAACAGGTTTCCTACCCCCACCCAATAGAAAGTACTATATTTTGTACATTAAGCATAGGCAATACCATGAAATACAAGCATTGTGCCGCTGCAAGTTAGACAATGGCAACTTATCCCCATCTGGATATTACTGGCTATATTCTTAAATGGGTTAAATGCAAAAAACAATAGAGCTACAGGTAGAAACAGACTCTGACCCTACTCTGATATATATTTTTTTTAAACTTTCACCATGCTTTTCAGGTGCAGAGTTAAGAAGGTCCAGATAACTTATGAAAGTGATTGATAGAATCATGATTTAAAGTAGCTCTGAACACAGACACAAGGATGAGAGAAAACCATCTCTGGTTCTCCTGTTATTACCTGTGAGTTGTCACCCTACTAATGACATTGTTTTCACTCTCTCTCAAGTACAGCTTCATAAAAATTAAGTATTTAACGAACCTGATTGTGTGTGCCACTGACTTTATTTAGTTGACACCATCTAGTTGCCATGGCAATCTGTTTAATTTATGCCTGTAAAGTAGCTTTGATTAATGTGTTCCTTTATTCTTCCAGTATGTTCCTTCATTGTAAGGAATTTGGTTTAAAGACTGTCAAATTGGATCTAAATTTTATTAAATTACCATTATGAACTAATCTATTTAATTTGATACTAAGTACTTGGTTGCAGAAAGACTTGAAGCTCTGCATCCCTCTGTGAAACACCAGTTACTTTGCATTAGAGAGTTTTCATCCACCAGGCAAACAAACAGTCTTAACCCTATAACACCACCTAGACTACCTTAAAACTACAGGCATACCTCGGAGATATTGTGGGTTCGGTTCCAGACCACTGCAATAAAGCAAATATCGCAATAAAGTGAGTCACACGAATTTTTTGGTTTCCCAGTGCATATAAAAGTTATGTTTACACTATACTGTAGTCTATTAAGTGTGCAATAGCATTATGTCTAAAAAAACAATGTACATACCTTAATTAAAAATACTTTATTGCTAAAAAATGCTAACCATCATCTGAGCCTTCAGTGAGTCGTAATCTTTTTGCTGGTGGAGGGTCTCGCCTCAATTTGTAAAAAACGCAGTATCTGTGAAGCACAATAAAGCGAAGCACAATAAAACGAGGTATGCCTGTATATCAAGACAAATATGGATGACAAGTTTAGAGATTATAAACCTTATATTTAATATTATATACCACCTATAAAAGGTTTAGAATGTTTTAGTTCAGGTTCATTTTTCATATTGATAGTCTTACCAGTTCCAAGTTGTAAGAAGGGTCTCATAATTAGGACTTGATTGCATTTGCCCATGTAGGGTTAAGTTCTCAGTGATATATTTAGAACAAGGCTACCGTTATATATGAGGCTATGTGTATGCGTGTGTGAAGGTAGTGACAATTTCATGAAAGATTTATTTAGATGTAGCTTTTTAAGTATGTATGTGCTGTTCATGTTTTCTATTCCAACTAGTGCTGTGACAGTGATGCAGATTGCAGTGTCATGCAGGATATGCATTACACCTTCAGCATATTCACTCTTCATACAGAGAATTTTCTAGCACTTCAACATTAAAAAAGAAACACCTTAAGCTGAAAAACATCTTCTGTTCCCATTCTCAGTGGGAAGTTTCTTTAATTGTGAAGAGGGAGAGGGAATGGCGAAAAAAGGAAATCTCTTTAATAGACAACTATATTTAAAAGATACAAGAGAAAACTGCAGAATTTTAAAAAATAAAAAAGTTGCTACAACTTGCAGCTAAAATCTAGAGCAACCTTTTTGCCATCATGGGCCACTGCTTACGAAGCAACACCTGCTGCAGCCCCACACCCCCGGTGGTCAGCAGATGTTGCATGGGGAAATGGGTAGGTAGTCATGCATTAAGACCTGGTGCATGCTGCCTCTGCTACAACAGAAAGAATAAACAGAAGGTGCTAGGATGCTGGAGATATCCTCCTCTGCCTCTGTGACTGGAGTGTGCTACTGATTCCCTGAGCTTGTGCAGCCCAGGTCCAGTCTCTTCACAGGCCACCCCTTATCTAGCATCATCTCCTGTATAGTGCAGGTCATTAGACTTTACCCAGTAACTCTTCCATTAAATCCCAAACCTATCCAGTCTTGATCTGAAGATAAGAATAAGAATCCACCACTAATTTATTCATGTGGTTGGCCCTCTTTGTTAAAATATTACAACTTTTTTTTTTATATGTAAGGTATCTGGTTCAGCTTCCAGACACTAGCTGTTGTTATGCTTCTCCATAGGTTAAACAGCTCTTTAGTATCCAGCATTTTTTTTCTTTTTAAAGGAGGTATGCTCTAAGTAACCTTTTTCCTGAAGAGAAATCAACCTATTTAACCTCCAAACTGGGTATATCTACATGTGCACTTTACTGCAGAGCTGACTAATTAATTCTGCAGTGAAGTGTCACTGTCAACATGTGCACCCATATTACAGCACAGTTAATTAACTAACTCTGCTGTAGGATAGTACATCTAGGACAAGTACTATCCTAGTGGAGTAGTTATGGGCACCAAAATGCACACACAGATGATGACTGAGGCTGGCTGGACATGAGGGTGCTCCAGTGTGGGGGCTGCCTGCTGGGTAGCTCCACACTGGAGCACCCTCAAGGTCCAGCCAGCCCCCCCCCCCC